TAGGGCTCTCCTTAGACCCCACATCACTTATAATATACCTCGTACACTTATTATCATATCCAAATTAATATACATCATATTAATGGTTCTCGTCTGCACACGAAATAATATAATTAGTACACATCAACTTTATTAAATGCGCTCAAGTATTTCGAAATTTTTCGGGGTGCTACACTCAATCAATATTCTTGTATATAATTACTAGTTTCCAATATAGATCCGCCATTACGCACCGCCCTGCATAGCCTTAAACCTACCCCGCCTTACACCTGCAATGTCCCATTTGCCATCCCTAGTCACAGAGTGCTGGCGGTTGAACTTCACGGTGAAACTTACCTTAGGGAAATTCCACATCAAAATGGAAGTGAAAAGTTAGGGGCCATATTAACTTTCTTAGCTCATAACGCAATTCATAATGTAGCCCCTCTTGTAATTGCTTGCCAGCGCACTCTTGTTGCTGATGTCTGTATATACTTACTTCTAAGTATTAACAATAAATAAAACAGCTAGGGGTATATTAATTCAAGTTCAGGCTTCAATTGTTGAGATGCCTTTTTGGTTAAAGCCCAACGAGATAAAATCGTGAGCGCAAAAAGCCTTGAGGTGACCTACAATGATCAGGCCAAAGCGGGACAAATCCTTGACAGTTTTGTCCGTGACAGAGGGTAGGGGTCTTCTCATTCATCTTTCAATGTATGTGTGTGCGCGCGCATTAAAATGAAATGTATTTCTTTGAATTGCTAAATGATAGTTGATTGACCTATTCTTGTTTTCATTTCTTTTATGGAGGCTGACAGCGTTATTAATGTCACTGCAGCTTGAGTTTACTTCCAACAATCTTAAAAGAGAGCAAGATAATTGACATGGAGAATGTCGAGAAAACAGCTGCTCATGCAAAGCCTTCCACTGAAGGTAGTTTTCTGTCAAATAATGAGGATTTTGTGGGCTTTGAGGAAGATGTAAATCAGATCATTCAGAAATTGACTGGATTCGGAGGACCAAAACAACGGGACATTATCTCGATTGTTGGAATGCCCGGTCTAGGTAAAACGACTTTGGCTAAAAAGATGTACGACAATCCTCTTATTATTCATCACTTTAATGTTAGAGCATTTTGTACTGTTTCACAAAAGTATGACGAGAGGAAGCTATTGGTTGAGATTCTTAAACAAGTAACAGGTGATAAGCGTGACATCAACGAGGATGTGGACGTGGCTGATGCGGTGAAGAAAGCTCTATTTGGTTGGAGATACCTCATTGTATTAGATGATATATGGAACTATAATGCATGGGAAGATTTGCAATTATGTTTCCCCAGTGAGGAAAAAGGAAGTAGAATTATGATAACAACTCGAGATGAAAAGGTGGCTAAGGAGATTAAGCAGCACAGTGATCCTTATTTACTTCGATTCCTAACAAAGGAGGAGAGTTGGGAATTATTGCAGAAGAAAGTATTTCAATGTGAGAGCTGTCCCCCGGAGCTATGCGAAGCAGGAGAAGAAGTTGCCAAAAACTGTAAGGGACTACCTCTAGTGATTGTCTTGACTGCTCCAATTATTGCGCAAAAGGAAAGGCAAGCCTCTGTGTGGCTTGAGTTTGCAAAGGTTTTGAGTTCCCATGGTTTAGAAGAGCTGAGTACGAAAGCAATACAGTCAAGTTATGACGATTTAAGGGTTCATCTAAAGCATTGCCTTCTTTACATGGGATATTTTCCAGAGGACTTCAAAATTGAAGTGTCTGATTTGTTGAAGTTGTGGATAGCCGAAGAGTTAGTGCAAAACATCGACACAAAGAACCTAGAGAAAGCATCTAAAGATTGTTTGAATGATCTTGTCAATAGAAGCCTTCTAATAGTTTCTAAAAGGAGATCTAATGGTGACATAAAATACTGCATGGTTCATGATCTAGTGCGTGCGTTTTGTTCAAGTAAACTTGAAGAAGAAAAGTTTAAGCAGCAGATCGCGCAATATAATTTATCCCAAACTCCATCTTCGCAGGATCCTCACTTATGCATGTATATCCATGACGTGCTTGTTGAACAAATGGAGCAAAATGGATATTTACTGGACAAGATTCCAATGGTCGACTCTGAAGAAAGGGAGTCTATTGAGTTCATCGCTCATCCACAATTCTACGCATCAAACCGTGTAGATCTTTTCCCTGTAATTATTAGCTTAAGACTTATTAGGGTGCTGCATTTGTTGGATGTCAACTTGGAAAATGATCGAGATTTTCAAGTTTCTCCAGCTTCCACTCTGGGATTACTATTTCACTTGAGGTACCTAGCAATTTTTGTCAAAAAGTTTGATTTCAATTGGATTTCACACTTGAGTGATCTACAAACTTTACGGGTCCATTCACATCAGCGCATAAAGACATCACCTGATATTTGGAAAATGACGAAGCTAAGGCATGTCGATATTAGTGAATTTTCCTTTATCTGGGAACACAACGAGCACGAAGAATCTTCACAAACTGTGTTAGAGAACTTAAAATCTTTTGGCAAGTGTCGTGTATCTGTGGCTGATATGAATCGGAAATTCTGGTGGAGGTTTCCGAATCTTGAAGAACTTAAGCTCTCCATTGTTAATCTTCATGATATGCCTAATCATTCTTTGTTTTCTACAGCGGAAACTCATAACCAGCTTCAATCTCTTGATATAAGTTTTCCGATTGGTTTCTCCAAATCAATTGGATGGTTTAAATCAGTCTTCCCTTTGAATCTTAAGGTTTTATCTCTTGCTGGCATTTCATTGACAGAAGCAATAGTTTCAAGTATTATAGCACTGGAAAATCTTGAGACACTCAAATTATTTTTTATACACTTTACATGTGATCCGTTATGGGACGTCACAAGTAAAGTGTTTAAAGCACTGAAATACTTGAAATTAGAGCAAGTGGATATGATTCAATGGCATTCCTCAGACACATCCTTTCCCGTTCTTGAAAAACTTGTTATAAAAGATTGTGGACGGCTTGAGAAGATTCCTTCTAGCTTTGCAGAAATTCTATCACTAAAATCGATTAAAGTGATCAACTGCAGCGACTCAGTTGAGAATTCAGCTTGGGACATTAAAAAAGAAGCAGAAGATACCGAAGGAAGTGACAGAATCCAAGTTCATATCCCGAAGAAAAACTAAAGATGGTAAGTGATTTCATTATTATGAAAAACACAAGAAGAAACTATTTCTTTACTGTGCTATCAATTTCATCTGGTATGAATAACAAGGTGAGAGTATGTTTAACTTATCGTCTTGCAGGCTAAATTACTCATCCTTTTTAATTCATAGCATGTTTAAACAAAATATTGGAATATATAGAAAATTCATGAAGTGGCAAATTATATAGATTAACGTTTATGTTTTGTGGTTGGGCTTTATATTTTTATTTTCACACTACCAGGAATAGATGGAAGGGGAGCTTTCGCGTAACGGGTAAAGTTCTGCCATGTGATCAGAAGGTTACGGGGTCGAGCCGTGGAAATAGCCTCTTGCATAAACGCAGGGTAAGGCTGCGTACAATAGACTCATGTGGTCCGGTTCTTTCCCGGACCCCGCGCATAACGTGAGTTTATGCACCAGACTACTAGGAACAAATGAGGCATAATTTTGCATCATGTGAATTGTGATACATAGAGCATTGCT